CAGTTAGCCAGCTAACAGAGTACTTGCGCGAAGACGAGGATTTTGACACTGGAGTGAAGCGTAGGTTTGATTGGGATGGCTCTGCACACGACGTGTCTTTTCATTGGTAGAAAATCTTATTGTTATTGTGCACCTGAAAAATCGAAAATAAATTAATGCTTAATACAAGAATATTTCTCGTATTTGACATTATTTGGAAAGAAAAGTCCCACTTACCAGGAATGTAATAGTGCTGAGCTTCGTCGCTTCTACCAACTAGCTCTAGTCTCCTTCGTTTAGCAGCCCTTTCACTTATGACGGCCTTCGTGGCCATGGGGCACCATTCTAAAGAATGGAGCTCCATCGTTGCTGCTATTTCCTCATCGGAGCTAACGTGCGGCATGTCAATGAAATGACCACACTTCTGACAAAAGCCTGAAATGAATGTTTTGTAACAAAAGGTGTTTCACATTTCAATAAACTTTCAAATTCAAAAACTGCTCTTTCTCTTAGTAATACCAGTAATATACGAAGTGAAACTTACCGCTTTGTCGGTGCATTCTACTGGCATGAATTCGCCATCCCTTCAAGCTCCCAAATTCCTTCGGGCACATACCGCACCCTGAAAATATGAAAAGCGTTTCCAAATGCATTCAAATCATTCATATAAAACATTTTCAACACAATAATGAAATAAATTAAAATTTACCAATTGTGGTCGACCCGTCAGCACTTCGAGTGATCGTGTACGGGTCGATTTCCGGCGCGATCAGCAGCCGTCGGTATTTCGCCGGTAAACCTTCCACTACCGGCGTGTGGAAGGGTTCCGCATTTGCTGATACTGCGTCACGTTCTTCGTCTTCTTCCACAACTGGGACCCGTATGGTTCGGGAACGCCTGAAGTATATCCATTCAGGTATTTTTTTAAACTAGTCATTATGAGATTAATTTCTTATCTAATATTCACTTATTAAGCATATTACAAAATCTCTTCTTTGTCTAACTATACTGTGCAATGATTCAGAAACTCGGACTACGCAGGGCGATAAATTAATTTAATTTAATATTACATTTCGAATTAAGCTG